AAGACTGGCGTAATGATGCTGAAAATACAGCTGCGCATCACAGAAATAAATTACATTTTATGTATGTACATATATGTATATATGTGTGTGTGACACACACACACACATTTGTATTTATACTCTATGTAGATTTTTAGTTATATATTATAAAAAAATGTAGTAATTTAATTATTTTATAATTTTAATTATTTTAAATATAAATGTGTGTGTGTGTGTGTGTATATATGTATGTATATATATATATATATATATATATAGAGAGAGAGATAGATAGATAGATACACGTGTATTTATACTAATATGTACATTTTTAGAAATATATAATTAACATGTTATAAAATTATAAATATATATAAGTATAATATAAATGTATTTATATGTAAGTGTGTGTGTGTGTGTGTGTGTGTGTGACAGAGAGAGAGAGACCAACGGTGTCAGTGTTTGGAGCCAACAGTGATATTAAATATATTCCCAATTATCAATGTGCCACATGAGTTTTTTTTTCTTTTCCCCCACTTTAATGTTAGACGTGATAATCATTCTTGTTTGAAATGCGCGAAAATTAAACAAAGTCAAGATCTCCGCAGGTCGTGCCGCTGTCACACGTTCGCGGGCTTCACACGGAGCGTGTAAACTGCGCATGCTCCTTGACCTTGCGATTAAACCACGCCCGCGTGATGTCGTCAGACCTGAAACACCCAGTATTTAGTCTATGCCTTGAGAGAACAGTGATTGAGCAGGGGCTGTGGAGAGCTTTGTTATTAAAACAGGCCCTTGTTGACTCAAACACCCTAATTGAACTGAAATGTCACTTAGTTGATTAATAGGTATTTGCTTTGGCTATTACATGCAATTTTCTTGTTTATTTATTTGTTTAATGATTGCTTTGCTGTGTTTGTTTTTCTTTAGCCATACTTTTCTTTGAAAGTTTCCATGTCACCATGTAATACCATTTGCAACCTTATTTTTTTATTACTTTTTTTTTCAGTAACATGTATTTCTGAGTGAAACAGGACAGTTAATAAGAAGTAGAGCAAAACTTGATTTTGTTCACAGGGATTTTATTGGATCTTGAAAATTAGGCATACCAAAATGGAGGCAGGTGGTCTGAGTGAAAGGGGAAACAAGGAATTAGAGTCAATTGTGATTTTTATTTTTATAATTGTTATGGTGAAGATACAGTGGCAAAACGCAGATCCATCATTCATGAATTAAGCACTTCTATAATTAAATGGTGTCTAGAGAAACACTTCAGTTTTGGCTTGGTAAAAAGGGGTATGTCAAATAATTAAAATACAACTAATGTCTACACAGACCACATCTTTTAAATGGTGTTGATTAGGCAGGCAGATAAAAAGTCTGGAGCCAAGAAACATCCATAATTCAGCGGACAGCTGGCTTGATGTGGTAGTGCAACCTTTTATTTCAAGTTTTTGACAGCTCTTCCTCAACTTCCCAGTTCTTGTCTGCATAGCTCGTTTTGGTCCCAAATTCTGTATGGTTACCAGT